TGTATGAACATTTTGAAAGTGAAAACTTTTATTCGATGATCGAAATTCATGCGGTTAAATATTTCCACGCAGATAAAGTTAAGTTACTAGATGATTAATAAGAAAGCTTGATTGGCACTTTAAAAATAACTAAGAGTCTGCCTTAGGTGGTTTTATTGATACCTACCCTCTCTGCTGGGGAACCCTCGATGTTCCATCTGAACGATATCACGTGATCTGAAGATGAATTGGTGATGAAGAACACTCGACGACAAAGAGTGTACAATGGGAGATTACCGAATGAAAGCCTTTCGATGGATAGTGTAGCAAGCTGTGGGAAAGGGAGGTTTCACAAGTAAATAATAGTACTAGACAAGAGTGTAACGTGTGTGTATACTCGAATGAATGTTTCAATGCCATTTGAAGTACAGGGCCGTAACCAGGGGGGAGTACAGGGTGCACGTGACCCCCCCCCCCCCCCCCCCAAAAAAAAAAAGTTCCGCTCAACTATGTCCTTTTGCTTTAAAATTGCATGTAAATGCTTTTTGATTTTTTTTTTTTGGTTCTGCAATTTCTTTTGGCTACCTTTTTTTATTCTTTGGTTCTCCAAATCATTGCCTGTGCACCTCCCCTGCAAGATCCCTGGTTACGCCACTGAAGTAAGGCATTTTCAATTTGTATAAAACATCTAGTTGTAATTAGGAGCTCTCTCCCCGTCTTTTTTTCCCGTAGAAGGGATGGGTGAGAAGCGACTTTAAACAGGCTAGGTTCTAATGCACGCTGTGGTAGACCTAATCCACTGTTTTCCCATTTCAACCACGTGTCATTTCCTAGAGTATTATTTCTTTGTTTAACGGTTGCACATGGGAAGACATATGTATATGGATACGACTTAAACAAAGAATCCTATTCTCAAGAGAATAACACGTGGTCTGAAATGGGCAAGTCGATTTGGTCAATTTTTCAATTAAAATAGAAACGTTTTAGAAGAAAGCATCTAAAATGTTCACGTCTTTATTTTTTAATTCATTGTGCTCTGAAATTACTGATACATCCTCACCCATGATTCGTTGATCGTATCCAACACCAGTCAAGAGAGATAGACCTACCTGATGTTGAACAGGGACAATCTGTTTGGAGGGCACACCAGTAGATACACCCTCGCTAAAGAGCATAGTGTCACCCATGATTCGTTGATCGTAACCAACACCCGTGAAGGTTACGAGGACAGCTTCGCCACCAATGATACGAATAGGAATGTCGACCTATTTAGATAAGTAAAAAGCCTTTGTCAAGGTCTGCCTCCACATGGGATCCCTGTGTTACATAAATCTAGGAACCACAGGTAACCCGTTATAAAAAACCCGTTTATAAAAAATCGATTAACTCTAAACCAAAAGGCCAGTTTAGACGGTACGTTTTTCGCCTACAACTATCGTATACAACACGCTCGCGTCTGTCGTAGGCGAGTTGTAGGCTTGATTTACACGCTGTGACTCGAGTTGTAGGATGACGCGAGCGGTTTGTATACGATAGTTGTAGGCGAAAATCGTATTGTACCGTCTAAACCGGCCTAAAGAGAGGCACAAGAGGGACAAGTCCCTGGTATGAGGTCTTACCACATAGGTCTTGGCTTCCAGAGGTGCAAATACCCAATGTATGAGGGCTGTACACCCAGGGGGAATGTCGCCTGATGGGTTCAGGCAGTCCAGTATACGACATCCATAGTTTTGCTGTAAGGATAAACAAAACATCAACACATTAACGAAGATTCGCTTCACTTGATTCAATAAGAGTTTATTTTACACTTGAGGTTTTTTCTTTTTTTTCTTCGACATAAGCTGGGGTAGGTTTGATCGAAGATCTTACCGCTTCTAATTGGTCCAGTGGCTCTAAATCAAGCTCATAGTTGACGGGCATCGATCCAGTATTGTGCAGTTCGTAGATCTGTACTGGAGGAGTGTTCCCGCCTACTGGGACGGGCTCAAACAGGTGCTTTGTACTGGCAAAATGGACGTAATAAGCACCTGGGTCCACTGTTACTCCTATGAAGTTCAGCTACGGAGGAAAATCAAAGAGGATTTTTAATTTTCAATATTGGACAATCACTTCGCATTGTTACACGAGACGATTTTTAACGATTTTTTTTTTTTTTTTTTTTTTTTTTTGCGCAACGCTATTGCCCGAACAGTTGATGCCGTTTAACATGCCAGACGGGACGATTGTTTGCGTCATTTCGACTTCGGCAACACGTTGCGAGGTTTTTGTTGGAAGTCAAAACCTCGCAACTCAAAATGGCAATTTTTCACACCGTTGCCTTTTTCGTTGAAGAAAAATTGCCGTTGCTGAATTTGTCTCGACTAACATCCATAGCAGCATAGGGAGTAGCGTCATGATGATGGGAGTTAATGGAAGTTTCTTATATAGCGCATTTCAAATATCTTAATGCGCTTTACATTAATGGAGGACTTGCATATTAAGGTGCTATCAGCAGCCGTAAAACTTACAAATCATGAGTGTTAATTGTTAGTAGATTAATATTATGCCTCCAAATTGGGATAGGTTGTTGAACCGGGAGACAATCCCCTACTCTTATACGAATAATTCAACAGGAATTATTACAGGGCCTACGGTTTAAATTCCTTATCCGCGAAGACTTGAAGGTCTAACCATTTGCATATATAAATATATAATTAATTAATATATAATTACAAAGGCAGCACTTTCTCCTCAGTTATTTTAAGACCCTGAGTGTTGGTCCGGCCGAGGCTTGAACCACGACCTCCCGCACAACAGCTAGCTGGGTGGCGGTTTACTAAACGATAGATGCAAAGAACCTGTTGAGTTTGCCTTAATAAGACAAAGTGAGGGACGTATTCATAAGAGCGCAGCGTACTATAAAAGGCAACGTTTTGAATGACCATTTCTCTTACCAATATCTCTCTGCCTTTTGAAATCTTGAAGATAACTGGTAGCTTATTGGTTCCCGTGAACAAATGCCTGGGGGAACAAATTGGAAAAACACTTTAAAAAATAGAAAAATCAAAAAGAATGAAAAAAACCCCGGCAAATCCTTTAAACGCCTCTTGATAGTAATTCTCATTCTCAAGGAGATGATAGGCGGCCCCATATTAAACCATGGTGTCCCCCCTTATGGGATACGCCCATCCTGGATACGAACTTGTTGTTCGGAATTGACAGTCAAGAACAATGCACAAAGAACTGAATTAATGATTTGCACGAGAATGTATGTAAATTATGCTAATAAAGTTCAGTTGAAGCATGACCTCAGCGAGTAAAGTTGAAAATTAAATCCAAGGAACGTTTGGAAACACTTGTCACTGATAACAAAATTAGTCTCAGGAAAATGTATAGCCAAACTGTAAAGGACTAAGCGTAAAAAATAAGCCAGCTCAACTAGAAATCGTGGACAGCTTTTCTAATTACCTGTAAGTGAGGGTTAAAGTCTGTGATTCTCCTGGAGATAGGCTACCTTTCTTTGGTTCCACCGTAAACAACTTCTTATCCATAACTTGCATCTAACAAAGAATTCATATCTTCAATGACACGACATTCAGACCGCCATGCAATTGATAGTCCGATAGACAATTTTGGCAGACTTATTTCATTGATACGCCCTCGTGACGGCAGCGCAAGCACATTCTTTCTGCGTGAAGGAGAACCATGCCATCGGCTTTAGAGTGAGCGTACTCGCATCTAGACATCTCTCCCCGGCCGCGTTTTCTGGTACTGATGAGTATTACAACCTTGAGGAAAACGGCGCGCGCATGAAAAATAGGGGGGACTGAAAAAGTGCCTTTCCTGTCACCTCAAGGCCAAGTGTTCTTCCATGCTAAGTCTGTCTTATAGACTATGAGTGGAAAGATTTTTCACGCGCGCACCATCGGCTTTGCATGCTATTGATTGCAACTGGTTAAGTATAACCAGAACTAGAGTCAGGCTATCCGCAAGCTAGGATGTCTTTTGTTGAGTATTATTGTTTGGTCTGTTAGGTATATCAAACTGATAAACAAACCTCGTGAAGTTCATCAGCGTCGTATTCACCAGTCTCTGCCCAGTATTCAAGCTCCAATTGAAGATCACTTGGATACAGAAACGACCTGACAACGGAGAGAACATATAACATTATTAATTATCAWCACAAAAGAAATAGTAGTAGAGATATAGAGTGAAGGCATTTAACCCGCGAAGTAAAAAAAAAATGTTAGTCAACGTGCTATAGTCAGATAGACACAAAAGAAAACAATGGAATTAGGGTCTACTAAAGTGTATTAGTCTAATATCTATTGCACGGGTTTAGTGACTTCTCTCTAGTCAAATAGACACAAAAGAAAGCATTGGAATTAGGGTCTACTAAAGTGTATTAGTCTAATATCAACAGAAAATGAACTAAGAGCAGGGATCTCTGGTATTCATGCTTGTGATCATCATGTGCACCGTTTAATGCTATTTTTAGAATCGCATTTGCCATCGTTTGTTTTCTGCACGCGCATAATGCGCACCCTCTACGCTGTTTGCTTACGTTTTCTTGAAAAACACATGAAAACAGAGCAAACAGGGTAGAGTGCGCGCAGCATGCACATGCAGAAAAACAAATTCTAAAAATAGCATCAAAGATTCTAAAAATAGCATCAAAGAGAGCTCATGATGGGGCGCGGGGATTCCTTCTCTTAGTTCATCTTCTCTTGCTAGTATGTATTTCACGGGTTTAGTGACTTCACTCTATGCGTACTGGTATATCGTAAGGATTCATATCTCTATGCTATCTCTTTGCGGTTATTCTAGAAGTTACTGAATATTTTACAAAGGTAAATAGGGTCTCTGAACATTTTCCCCTGCGCTGAGCAAGGAAAATGAAAGTATAACACGTAAGGAATTTGGTCTACCTTTGGCACCAACCTTTTCATTACATTTAAAGTTTTTCCTCAAAAAACTTAGGTTTGTGTACTGTGCAATAAAGCAGTTTCCATGTTAGTGGGAAACGTACGGTACTGACTTACAGCACGTACACGGTAAGATAGACATACTGTAACATTGAAATGGCTTCCCATCGTTCCCGCAAGATACAGCACGGGTACAATGTGGCTAAAAATCGTTCGTGTCGTTCTCCACTTCTACGAAAACAGGTTAAACAATATGCTTACCAGTCTGCAGGGACAGAACCAGTGTTCTGTAAGTTAAGGTGGATAATAGCAGGATCTGAATCATTGGGTGATGCACCGAAGTTAAAGTCCATGACGGCACGGGTGTAGACAGGAACACGTCTCTTCGTACTATGGAGCAAAAAAAAAGTATGTATAAGTTATAACCATGTTTAGTAGTAATCTATGGATGTGGGAATCAGAAGGTGGTGCAGACTTTCCTTGATGATGAAGGAGCGCGTTCTAAAGAACCATCTGTACAGTAACGCTATTTGCGGCATCAAGGGTAGTCTCGCGGTGGTTCACTTATTTCTGGAGTCTCGGCTTCGATTATTGAACCCAAAATCACACGTTAAAAAAGTTTGTTAGCTCTCTCCATGGTTTAGGGAATTTTCTATGGCGGGGATCTCCGGACTTCCGCAAAACTTAACAAGCTGATTCCAATCTGTGATTTAGCCGTACCCTGACTTTGATCACTACAGCGGTTGTTTCAGGGGTTTTTATAGAGAGTTTGAGATTCTCGTTTACGTAAAACGTCAGTTGACCATTAAAAAATTATTTATAATTAGTGAAAAGGTATCGCAAAACAAAGATAAACAAAAGAATACTTATTCTTTGTCGAGAAGGTTTGCAAAAGGTAAAGTGAAATTTAGGGAAACGAAGAAAACGTGTTTATGTCTTCCGTTTGCGGGAAGGAAAACGGGAATCTTAATCTGCCTAATAAGAGGCGTAGCGAGGTCTCGATTATCGGGGAGGGTGCAGTTTACCATTTTCCCGCCAAACCCACAGGAATCCCACATGGATTAATTAAATTTTGGTGCCGAAAGCAAACTTTTTTTGGGGGGAGGCACGTGCCCCCTCCCTTTGCTAGTGCGGTAACTTGTTTCATACCTGTGTCTGGTGGCTGCTGCGTACATCAGCTCTGGGGGCGAGGGATCAGAATCTAGACACTCGTTCAAGCTGAAAATATAAAGACATAACGACGATGAGAATAAGATCTTTTATTTCTTCTTGTTGCATCTCCTAGGGACGTCGTCAGCAGCTCCTTTCAAAATGCTTATAAACAAATACACTAACAGATGCATAAAATTCTAGAATCTTGGACAAAATTGTTAAGAAATGTTTGCTTCTAATGGATATTTTTATGTACAACAATTCCCCTTAAATTGACCCCCTCCCCCCTCCCCCCTCCCAAACAATGTTGTTTCCAGGGAGACAGGACTGTTCTACCTACTGGGACCAACATTGTCCTGGGGGGGTGGGGGTGCGCTTAATCAAAACAAAAACCAACCTGTCTAGTGAGAAGAGATTCCATAGCTTGACTTTACTGTATCCCTTGTTACTGCCCAGACCTCTGACATCGGATATTGATAGGGTAGGGTAGACTCCTTGACAGTGGAGCTCTGCTAACATGGTCTTGTTACGAGTGATGTGATGGTTCTCACCGTCATCTTGATAATACAAGTATATACTCCATTAGTAATATGGAAAGGAGTATTAAACCATACGAAACATCGGGATTAAATATAAAATACAGTAAAGGCATTTTTAGTAGATCTTAAGAGAACTACGCTAAGTTTTGTAGATTTAGCACCTTTGCACTAAGTCACAGCTACACGCACACACTTCTACAGCATTCAATCCTCTATGCTCACAACTCTCAGCGCCCATGTTGATTATTGCCAAGGGAAGAAAGACCTTTGCTTTTAAATGTAGAAGTCACAGACACACACATACTTCTACAGCATTCAATCCTCTATGCTTACAACTCTCAGCGCCCATGTTGATTATTGCCAAGGGAAGAAAGACCTTTGCTATCAAATGCCTTAGTAGCAAGGGACTGTAAGGAGGCCAATGGTTGAGAAGCATGGGAAAAATCCCTATGAAACCCAGAGCAACATTTTATCGCTATCAAATGATGCTGGGTCTTTACCTTGATTTAAGGGGTTTTCTCAAACTTACTTAGATCTCTGTAAGTTAGCTTTGCCATGACTTTGATCAGCTTGAATGTTTTGAATGAAGTTTTGAATSAAGTTGAATGTTTTTTTGTTGGGTGGGATTGGGGGGGGGGGGGTGTGGAAGGGGAGTGGTGGGGATTTCAATTTATACTACTTGAAAAACCGAGTATCAATATGTTTTTGCCATAAACTTTCATTGCAATACTTTACAGACTACCTACCAGTGGTGGAGAGTAAGACATAGCTGAGAAGGAACTTATAGGTAACACGACGAGTAGGGAACACTGTAGCAGTGATCTTCTTGGATGTACTTGCTGGGATAATACCACTGGAGTTGCTTAATTCGATTACTGTGTACAAATGAAAGTAGAATATAAAGCCAGATTTCTTTTCTATTTTGAACGGAAAGTTTAAGGGGAAAATGATGTTGGATTTCGTTCAAAAATTTAGAAAGAAAGAGGAGAGTAGCTTTGTAAGGGAATTCGTGTCCTATTGCTGTATCACCTGCTCTATACGTGGCGAATTGAATCGTCAAAAAAAGAAAAAATATTCGGAAAAAGGAGACTACAAGTTTTTTTCGTTTTTCTTCTTCCTTCCCTTCCCTTCCCTTCCCTTCCCTTCTTTTCCTGTTCCTGCCTCCTGTCATGGCTCCATCACGTGATGGTGCAAAGCCTCTTTACACTGAATTACAGGCCAAGTCAACTAACCCAAGACATCTCTAGCAGTCTCTTCATCATCATATGGTCCTCGTATCTCCTGGTCGACCAATAAGTCATAATGAAGACTACAATCACTGTTATTATGGATGGTTATGTCTTTAGATGACGATCCTCCTACTATGATGTCGCCAAAGTCAACGTTTGGTTCCACGCACTGCAGCGAGAAGAGCAAACACTTGATTTATTACGAGGAAAAGAAGAGATAACTAGCTAAAAACTAGTGTGAGCTGCGTCGGTGTTTCTAATGAAACAGTAATGATAAAAAGGTAAATTATACACCGTGAAAAGATGAAAAAACTTAAACTGACGTTTCGGACGCTAGTCCTTCGTCGGAATAAATTATGTTAATATTAGTATATTAATCATTACTGTTTCATTAGGAAAACTTGGTTGCAAGAAGGGTTGTTAAGCCTCTCGCCCGCGCAAAGGCCGTATTTTCTCTTGAGAATGAAACTTCAATTTTCAATTTCAATTTTCTTTTATTTCCACTGACTTATAGAAAATTGTAAATACAAAGAATAGCATAAATATTTTCAAAAACAGATTGAGTAAAAAGAAAAAGAGCATAATAAATAGTTGTAGACGACTCCCAAAGTAGCATAAGCTTCGTACAAACACTTATTACGCATGGGTGAGTGAAATCACCCTGATGCGCTTGAATACGAGGCTAGGAGTGCAAAAAAATGTTGTCTCATCCCAAATGGCTAAGTGTTGCGTAACAAACGTCTATGAATGTGTCTTTTAAAATAATAATATCAATTACAGGTTACTTACGATTATCTCTCCCACCGACCCTTCACCAATCACACGCACCAAGTATTTAACCTCATCGTCAGTCCTGAAGGTAAAGAAACGATCAGAAAATATTAATGCACAGTTTGACTCAGGGTAACTATGACTAGAGCAGTTTTCGTATGACTGTGAAAAGATGTGACAAGGCATACGCCAGACCTAYCACATTGCTCGAGAATTTACTCTCCATCCAATCAAATAACCGGAACACGGCATAAACACGATAACACGGACACGGTCTCGCCAATGTAATGGCACTGCCAGACCAATCGCATTGTGAAAAAAATTCGAATAACCAGAAAATCGAATAGTTTGGGTTAAATTTCGAATAACCAGAAAATCGAATAGTTCAGGTTAAATTTCGAATAATATGAAAATCAAATAGTTCAGGTTAAATTTCGAATAACCAGAAAATCGAATAGTTCAGGTTAAATTTCGAATAACTAGAAAATCGAATAGTTCAGGTTAAATTTCGAATAACCAGAAAATCGAATAGTTCAGGTTAAATTTCGAATAATAAAAAAAATCAGCCAATTAAAATACTAGAAAACATCACGGTCACGGCAAGGGAAGCTTATGGAACCAAGCTTTTCACGGCAGTCATACGAAAACGGAATGTCTAATAGAATTATAATATTCAAATTATTTGTATGTACGTACTTAAACTGATCTAGAGAACTACTTATGAAGAGTTTGGGTTTCACCAGGTACTTTGACTCATCACTTGGAGTAAAGGTAAATGAATGGGACTGAAATAAAATGGAACAGAAAAAGTGAAGCTAGTACAAAAGGAAAAGGCGCATGAAACGCTATGTTAAATTTGCTCTATATAAATAAATATTATTATTATTAAGAGAAAGAAATTAGAAATTGACATAACATTGATCATATTAAGAGCGCAATGGAGTGTCGCCTTAATCTTATGGCCTTTATCCAAGTTTCAAATGCTGTCCCCAGTCTTGTTAAAGATGGCGCGCGCGGAGCGCGCAGTGAGAGAACATGCGACGGGAGTCCTGTGGTGTGTACACGGACGTACGTATTGTTATTCCATCCCCGTCCCCGTCCCCCATCGCCATTACCTGCGTTTCATTCGGTCCAATCATTCCAGTCTGAGGTTCAATCGCTAGGACTTTCACATCTTTTCCGGAGACATTCCAACGAAACCTGAAAAAAGCGTTGGTAGTTGATTAGAACAAGCGTATCAATCCAGCTCTTTCATTATATCCGCTTTGAAATTAATGGTTATTTCTGCAATCTGATCGTGGCTCTCAGCAGTGCGAATTAATGTACCATTTTGGGGTTTAAATCGCACTGTTTCGAAGAGCCAATGAAATGGAAGAAAACGGAGCATTTGACCAATCAGATCACAGAAAAAATAAGGCAAAGAAATGGATGACCAAAGGTGACTCTTACCTTAGAGGTATACGTGACGTGTTCTTGACTGACAAAGCTCTGGTTGACGATGTACCAGTGCACGTTGGTTTAAAGTATATTGTTCCCTGTAACATAGATTGATTACGGATATTATAGTTATATCCTGACGTTACAGAGCTCGAAATAGCACCCACGCCCAGCACCCAGCACCCACTTCGCGACGAAGTAGCAAAACCCAATAGATCTTTCGTAACCACGAAACAATGGTGCCAAGAGGAGCTTGGACTTGATAAATACAGTAAATGTAAGAACACATCAAGTACACGATCATCAACTTGGAACCATTGTTTCTTGTACACTAAGGCGAATTCTGGAAATGTCTATATAGACCCCTTGCAGCACATCGGAATGCAGCCCGGGAATGCAGCTCAATTTAGAGGACATAAAAATAGGTTTCCGATTCTCAGAAGATTGAAATTTTGTTGTTTCATACTCCAATTTGAGCTGTTTTGACGCCACATGTTGGGGACTATTTGTGCTATCAAAGCGCAACATTCTTCTTTCACCAAAGGACAGGGAGTATGCTTACCTCTCCTCCAAGTTGAACTTGAGGAGTTTCTGCAGAACCTAACAAGTTGATCTCCTGGAAAAGAAAAATTTGTTGGTATGTGGTCAAACATAAATAGCTACATTAGTACTTTTATGGTAAGGGAAGTGAAGTCGTCGGTAGGGTATAACTAGGGGAATAACTGAGATAGTAGCACAATACTAAAGGCAATATAGTCTATAGTGGGATATAGCATGTCCTAGATAGGGTAGATAAGGTAGTACATTAAGGGAGATAAATGTATCATACTAAAGGAAGTGTGGTACGTAGGGTGTATATTTTATACTAAGTATAGGGGACCAACAAAACTGCTATTACAATTAAGGACAGTACAGCGTAGGACAGGGATTAATACTGAGGAAGGGACATTGTTGTATTAATATTGAGGAAGGGGGTTGCTGCTCTTTACCTGAGTGTATTTATCAGCTTCATTTAGGCAACATTTCATGGTGTGTTTGAAGACTTTTGCTTCTGGAGGTACCATTCGAAATACAACCACCTAGAATAACAAAGTATTATAAATCAGTTATCTATAAGCACCATTTATCAAGCAAACAAGATAAGTGATTCTGGCAAAACTAATTTATAATATTACACTACTATATATACTAGTACAACTATATTGATATTATTACCTAAGAACATGCGTAATAGATAAATTACAAGCCTAAATACATTACGCATTGTCTTATGCGATTTCATTATGCGAGCCCATTCCACATGGCTTATCGCCTCATCTTTCATGATATACTACCTGGTATTTATCAGTAAGAAGACCCCTGCTTGGTCTGCAGCTGAAGATCCTGAAGAAAAGAAGAAATAAGGGATTTTTAAATTTTAACTTAACCAACCTTTTATACATTGGTTCACTGGTTGCAAAACTCCGACGAAGGACTAGCGTCCGAAACGTCAGTAAGTTTTTTCATCTTTTCACGGTGTATAATTTACCTTTTCATCATTACTGTTTCATTAGAAACACCGACGCAGCTCACTCTAGTTTTTAGCTAGTTATATCTTCTGGTTGCAAAACAAACAAAAGCAGTTCAAGAAAGCTTTTGCTTACTGTTTCTTCATGAAAGGATTTGTTGTCCAAGGTTTTAATTGTTTCAGGTGTATGTTCTATCATTGAGAACATTTTTTGTTTTTTTAGCGGTTTTTGTAAGCAGTTGGACCCCAAAATATATCCCAACTTAAAAGATCAACACTATACTTTTTTTTYCCAACACTATACTTTGGTGCATTTAGTTTCTTACCTGTCTGGGTCCTGCTCAAAGTCAAAGTTAATAGGATTTGTTCCAGTGTTTGTCAGTAATAAGGTGCGATATGACATCTGTTCCGGGGTGATGGCAGGTAACACCTGTAGGATAGATAGATCATAGCAAATTAACACTACTCTCTGGGTAGATGAAGGCTGCTGTTTTTGATCTTAAAAAAAACTCTAAACTTATCCCCCAGTATCTTCTCTAATATCCTTCCCTGTCTAATGCGTTTACCACTCCAGGGTGGATGGCTTAATGCCTAACAGGCCTTGTGACCCAATTGATAAGGCAGCAAGTTGATTTTCGTAGAGGGAGGAAAAACTGGAGAACCCGAAGGAAAAACCCTTGAAGCACAGAAGAGAACCAACAAATAACTCTACTCACACCGAGCCTGGCTGGGGTCGAACCCGGGTCGCATTGGTGAGAGGCGACACATTACCAGCGCACACCACCCCTGCTTCCGGTGCTTCACCTGTCTGCCTCCCGTATACCCCCTCCCCTAAGCTACTTGAGTTTTTGTAGCTAAATTTAAAAAATACAGAGTTTATAGAGGAGGGAAAGGAAAAAAGTTAAAAGAATAAATGTTTCGTACCATATTTCTAACATCTAAATTGTATCTTGGGATAAAGGTCTCTGCTCCAATGGAAAATGTTTGCCCTATGAAAAAATACATGTATGAAAAATTAATAGTTTATAGTGAATAATAGACCCAGTAGTTCTTATTATATGATATTTTGATGTATGATAAATCTACAGTGCTGTGGCTGGCTAGTGAATATTACCTGATGTGTCGAGAGTCAAACACCAAGGTGGACAGAAAGAGTTGTCTTCAACAAGTCTGTAGTCTCTCAAACTCTAACAAATCAATATAAATGATACATTTGTTACACATTTGAGTGTCATTTTTGGGAGGATAGCAACACTTTGACTGCAAACTGCTAGTCTTTATCAGGCAATTGTAGACAGGTGCAGATGATGTAAAATAGACTGATTTAGCAAAAACAACTCGATATGAAAAGGATGATGCTTGCCCTAACAAATGGCTTTCAAAATGGCTGTTGACGTCAGAAGGCCATATTCGTAATAGTCAGTCTAATATACTTGGTAAATTATTAAAGAAAATAAGATAAAAAATAAAAATGGCATTATGACAAATAATAATATTTTGGTAGGAAATATTGTAATAAATATGCATTAAGTCTCACTGTACTTTCATTACCTTTACCACTGTTGGGTGGCCGGGGGAAGGGCAGGGCACAATTCGTAATAGTGATTAGAATCAAGATCAAAGTTGGTTGATTACCTTATAAAAGCAATAACATTCAAGTTCTGCACTGAAGAACTGGTTTGATGCATTCTGTGAGATTTTGAAATAAAAACAATTAAATAAATGAATAAATTAAATAAATAAATGTATTCTGGCAATATTGAAGGACAGTACTTACAGGTCTGAAAGTGACTCTGAATGAGGCTGTCCGCAGTGGTAATATATCACAGTTATCGGGCGATACTGAGAAAATGCCTTTTTTATCTAAACGATTCAAACAAAAAAATATAAAGTTGTAGGAATTTCGTATACRAAAGTGAATGAATCAAAACTTACCTCTCATCCACTGACAGGTTATCTTTCCTTTAGTGTGGTTGGTTATATTTACAGTCTATCAGCATAATAAAGAAGTCAATAATAATGTACTAGAGAAGGTCCTCAAGATCACAACTGAATGTGGTCATGTTCCACACAGCGTGATTATACTGTATTTTACAGCATTTGGTTTTTCTTGGTGCACATTGAAAAGTTTATGTAATTAAGTTCAGTGCATTAAAATGTCTGAAAAACGTGTTCAACTTAATTTTTTTAAAGAATTTATTATCTTTGTTAATGAACTGTCAGAAATCCCATAAAGAACTAGCCTAAGTCCTACGCAGCCACTGTGAGGCACTTCCGGTTCCCATCAATAACATAAAATATTATACCCGTCAAGCTATTTTTGGGATGTATGTAGTTCATTATTTTGTTCAAGCTATGAACCGCAGGCTTTAGCCCTGGGATCATAGGTACCTTTCAACCTCTGCTTGCATGGTAAATTTTCCTTAATCAGTTTCAATTACCTTTTGTTCTACAGTTCCTGCTTCGAGTACTTTACCAAAAGACAGGTGTTGGATATCCAAGCTAACATGAGGTTCTACCAGAGCCTGTATTTTGAATATATGAAAAAAAATTAATCTGATTCAATTGAATGAATGAATGGAAGAAAGAAATTTAAAAACACCAACATTAAAATATCATAGTTAGCAAATAAACTGAGTGAACTGCATGAGGCTGCTCATCTACTGAGCTAAGCATGTTAGCAGCTTGTAGGGCACAATTTTGCAGGTTATTGGTTTGAAATTCACAAGTTTAATTAATTTTTGCTATCTGGCATTATTTGGATCATTAGAGTACTTACAGTTTCTCCAAAACTGCCATCGTTAAAGAGCTCCTCCATAGCTGTTAGTTGAGTGATGGAAACATTTTCACTCTCTCCTAACTTTGTGCCCTTGAAATTGAATAACAAGGCATATAAACTAAAGAACCACATATACTAATCAATAGTAGTAGAGCCAAACAGTGCCTTTTTTATTTATTATTCCGTAACATGAAGCAGGGACTGAATAGGGGGGGGGGAGGTAATCTAATCAATTGTAGTGGAGCCAAACAGTGCCTTTTTTTTTTTTTTTTTTCTGTAGCATGAAGCAGGGACTGCAGAGGGAGGGGGGAGGTAAAATATCAATAGCCAAATGCAATAAATATGCTGTAAATGTGCCTCAAGACACTAGAGATAGCACTTCCTAGGGTCTCAGTTTAAAATGTTTTTGTGGGTTTCTGCCTTCTGCAGCCGTTAGCCCCCCCAATCAAAAATACAGTGCGCTCAATCCCAGCTGTGAAGTGACTTGGGGAGTCACTACTCCCTCAGGATGGATGCTCTTTTATCATGTGCAGGAAATTTTCAAAGTGGAAGACAACAACTTCAAAATATTTTAGATATCTTACCTCCGCTGGCATTAATGCCCCATTTTCATCTATCTGGAGCTTGCCAGCTTGTAGCATAACATTAAGTTGCTTCATAGAGAGGAGAAACAGAATGCATGTGAGAAGCCATATGAATAAAGTTAATGGATACAACTCAAACAACAAATCTTATTCTTTAGAGAATCATTTATGGCTTTTAATTCGATCATTAGTCAATTTGTATCATTTAAGGAAGTTCGTGGAGAAATGAAGTTGCAATCAGAATTTTTAAATTTGGCATAAACATATACCCCAACATATTCTTGTTCAAAAAATGAAATAGAAAATGGGGGTCACCAAATTGTTGTTGTTGTTTGTTTTTTTTGCCAAGACTGAGGAAATATGGCATTCATTGAGGGGAAAACATGCACTATAGAGTAACCTGAGGTATCAAAGAAATTCTTCGAAAAAACTCCAAAACATCATCAAAGAAATGCAGAAAACAAATTCATAGCCATCAAATATGACTATCTTTAACATTTCTGAATTAAAAGCATGTGAATATATAAGAGTTATGAAACTTTCAATCCCTGCGATGCAGTCAAAATGCGTACCATTCAAATTCGTTAACAGGTGGATTGTTTTCCTAGATTTGGTGTCAATCATTCCCTGAATTTTAGATTTACAGATTTTGTAGATTTTGATGGTATCTTTATTTTAAGACAAAGAAAAATGGGGGTTACCCAACTGTTTTGCGAGATATTTTGCATAAAGAAATGAGAAATGGGTATAACCGTATTGCAATTTATTGCTGTCATCATCCCATTCATTCACCAAATCATGACATCATAACGACATCATGATAATGATAATTGTATTTACTGTACCTCTGGAGGCATCTTAGACAGTCCTCTTCTTACATGGGTATGATATCTTAATAGGTGCTTTTGCTGAAGTGGAGCTTTATGATTAAAATAAGCAAATGAGTGATTATTTAACAGATTGCCTTTATGTAAAATTACATTGCAGCTCAATAAGCAAATGCATAACCATTTCAGGCCCATGGCAAGGCCTGGATATCTTGGGGGTTGGGAAGGGGGTTGAGGGGGAAGGTATGGATGTGGGCGGGTGACAGATGTCACATAGTGTCATTTTGCGATTGTATAACTTAGTTTGACAATACATTTTTTGAATCCCAGCTTCATAAAAAGCCCCCCTCCCCCCTCTTCCTGCTTTGGGTCTGTTAATAGGCATTGTCATTATTTTTACCTGGTTTTACTTGCTCTGTTTGACAGGTTCCAAACAAGTCAATGAACAAAGGATCCTATTAGATTTTGAATAGAATACAGATATAAAGTTAGAGTTAAATGTAATGCAAAGATAAGATAAGATGCGTACAAGGAACACCGCGGAACATCACTGAGTTAAAGTGATTTGTTAGCAATAAAATCCTTTGCCATCAAGTTAAAATTTCAGGAAGACATCTGCGTAGATACTCATTAACAGAGTAGCACAGGGATTACGTGACACATAATTTTATTGGATATTATACTGTAATGCACTCAATGAAATTACTCAATTCTGATTGGACAAGACTGGTTTATACAATCATGAAGCATGAATTCTAGAAATATTGATGAGTGAAACATGATACCACCTCCCCTACACCTCCTTTTCATAATCCATAATTATTTTTGATTGTTAAACTAACCTGATTTTGTACAAGGCATGCCAGTCGTCTGTAATAATTAATAGGATGAGTGGGAGTAAAGTGTATAATAATGGTGATGGACTCTCCCCCTGGTAAGAGCCCACAGGTGGTGTTGAGTCTGTAGACACTCTGGTCACAATCTATCAGAAACTGGAAAGAAAAATTAAATAATAATCTTAGCTCAGTGAAATAGTTGTAAAGTTCCAGAAATTATCCATAACACCCCCCCCCCCCCC